CCCAAAAGTTTTTTCAACTGATCTAAAATCAGCTCGACCTGCTGAGCATTTTGACATATAAAAATCGAAAATCCGTTAGGTGACCATATACGACACTCGCCAACTTTGAAGTGTTATAACTCGCTCCAGAAGTGTTTCCCAATAGTTTTTTCAACTGATCCTGAACCAGCTCGAACTGCTGAGCATTTTGGTATATAAAAATCCAAAATCGGTTTAGTGACCATATAACGCAATTTTCCCAATTTACATACCTTATCGACGCCGATCGCGCTCAGGACAATGCCGATAATCAGCCCGATCATGATGAGCAGCGACGAGTCGGGGAACATCTCCGTCATGTGCGGGATTTGGTGGAAAACTGAGAAATGCCAATTATTAAAAAAAAGCAAACTCGAAAAAACCGGGAAAAACAAAAAAAATGGGTGCTAAGAAGCTTACTAATTTTTGCTATCGACGCGACGACAAGCCATAGGCAAATGACGAGCGGGGTTTTTACCTAAAAAACAGATTCTCTCTCTCGCTTTCTCTCCCTCTCTCTCGCTCTCTCTCTCTTTCTCTCTCTCTCTCTAGATCTCCGTCTCTCTATCTTTCTTTAAGTCTGTCCGTCTATCTATCTCTCTCGCTCACGCTCTCTCTATCTATCTGTCTCTTTCGCCCGCTCTCTCTCTCCCGCTCTCTCTCTCTCTCTCTCTCTCTCTCTCTCTCTCTCTCTCTCTCTCTCTTTCACACCCACCTCATCCCACTCGAATATTGCAATCGGGTACCGCTCCAGCTTTTCCTCGCCCTCGATTTCGCTGCTCTGACAGAAAAATGGTACTTTCAGGGCTCAAAATTATCGAAAAAAAATTTCCCTGCCGCTTCCCCTTTAAAAGTGCTAGTAACTAAGAAAAGCCAAGGACGACGAAAATGGCTATGCGGTTTTAAAGGGATTGCGACGGGCTTGAAAACGGAATTGCCTACTTCTGCCGCTTTTGCTGTCAGGAAGCATGCCGACGCGAATATTACCGCAAAAAGGAGCCACCGTAACCGCCCCATCTCGCACTACGGTAGGTTTAACCGCTAAATTGCATTTTAAGAAACAGCTAGAGAGAGAGAGAGAGGGAGAGACAGTCACAGAGAAAGAGAAAGAGAGAGAGAGACAGAGAGAGAAAGAGTGAGAGAGAGCGACAGAGAGACAGCCAGATAGAGAGCGAGACAGAGGCGAGAGGGTATCGAGTCAGAGTGAGTAATATTGATTGAGAGCGACCTGCAGAGATGGAGAGACAAAGCGAGAGAGAGAGAGAGAGAGAGAGAGAGAGAGATATTGAAAGATGGAGATAGAGAGACAGAGGCGGTTAATATGCAGAAATTCCGCAAAACACCTAGCCACCATCAAAACGTGGCGCACCAGGGGGAAGGTCTCCACCCTCACCACCTCTTATCCAGTTGCGCTGGGCTTGAAATGTAAATAGTGAGTAATCGGAAATGGTAGGCAGCTGAATTGTCGGATTCAGCGAAAAATAAGGCGATATTTTGAGGAAAAAGTAAAGTCACCTTTTTTAAGGTACCTTTGTGGGATTTTGTTACTCCGAATCGTCCCTTCAGGCATCGAAAAAAGCCTCCTATTTTTAGGCAAATTTAAAAAGAACATTAAAAAACAATGAAAAAAAGAATTGAAATAAAGGAATATTCAAGGCAGAATTGGGGACTTTCGCTGGCGAAACGATTCTTGATGGTTCTGCTCGCGGCCGGGAGGCACGACGAGCACTCCGAGAATCCCATTTCGCAATGCAATACGACCCGCTCGGTCACGGTCAGGCGGCGCGTGCTCGTCGCGCGTTGCGGCCGTTCTTAAGCTGGCATTGCCGTGCCTTTAATAGCGTCAACCGAGAAAACTACAAAATTCTTGACAGAAAAAATACCGACATTCAAGCGCCCGAGAGACAAAATCCCGACATCCCGAACCCCCCGATTTTGAAGCCATTTACGACCGGAATTGACCCATTTACGTGACGTGACGTCTTGGCGGTCGGGATTCGCGCTGTCGGGATTTTGGCTGTCGGAATTTTTTGAGCTGTCGAGATTTTGGCTGGAATTCACATCAAGAACATCGAAGACTTGTGGACTTTCCACCCTGGCGCCTCTCCACGCTCAAATTTATGGTAGTGTTGTCGATATTTGGCCTTTGCCGTGGCTAGGGGCGAGAGAGTGAGAGAAGCCTTTACGACACAAGCACACAGGTTGCCAGTGTCGCAGTGTCTGTTATCTCATAAGAGGACAAGGGTGGGCTCCGGGTTTCCAGGCAGACATGGTCATTTTTCGAGGCCGGAACCAGCGGAAATAGCTTTGCCGTTAAAACTCGTGTCATTGAATTTGGTCTCGAATTGAAGCGTGAGAGAGAGAGAGAGAGCGAGATAGCGTGAGAGAAAGCGAGCGAGAGGGAGGGAGATCGCGAGAGAGAAGCAGAGTTTGAAAAACCCACCCTGGCCCTCGAGAAATTTCTGAGCATTCGTTTTGAATATTCAAAAGAGACAACTGCAGGAATAAGCGCACGAGTAAAAAGGCAAGGGAAATAGAGAGCGATAGAGAGAGAGAGAGAGAGAGAGAGAGAGAGAAAGAGAGAGAGAGCCAGAGAAACCTCCAAAATAGCAAGCAATTGGAACGCTTGACGAATTCGGTCTCTGATTGAAGAGAGAGAGAGAGAGATAGGGAGAGAGAGAGAGCGAGAGAGAGAGAGAGAGAGGAGTTTAAACAAATTCCATCGCTAATTACAAAGTTGATAGCAAGCGTGTAGTCGGCTTTTCAAGGCTCTGGCTGAAGACAATCAGAAGCACCTTGTTGCAAAGCTTCAAAACAGGTAAAACTGGCTCAAAAGCTTCAAACAGGTGAAAAATTTATCGACTTCCCCCCAATCACCCAGTAGCTGCTTGCGGTAGCGGTTAAGCCGCCGGGCTGAGCCGTAAGAAGGCGTAGATTAGAGGAGAGCCAAAAGGGGGCTTCACGGCTTCTACACGACTCGAAAAGCCGATTCCCACACACGGACACGGACGCCGCCGACACGCAGAACTGATAAGGAGCAGGAGTGGGGGGAAGGCCACATCGGGGCTGAACAGCCCGAGTGGAATTGCAAAAATGCTTGGGGGTGTGGGGGCCTTAGGCTTAGGCTTAGGCTTGGTGTACTTGTGCGAATTATGTATGGCATCAAGATGGACAGCAAGACATAATTTTTACCTGATACTCACTGCATGGTTTTCGCGTTTTGCCTCTCTCTCTCTCTCTCTCTCTCTCTCTCTCTCTCTTTCTCGCAAGCGGTGCTTCGAAGCTTAGAATACTTTAAACAATTTATTTGGCAGAAAGTGAGGCCTTGGCTAATTTTCGTCAACCGGCCATTCCAGTTTCGGGCAGCGTCTAGGGTCAAAGCCAGTTCGGTGTCGTTCCTCTGCATACAGCTGCCCCTCTCGACCATCATAGTTCTGGGCGACTATCACCCGAAGCCCGACCAACCTAACCGGATCTGCGCCCGCGAGCCGGGAACCCTATAATGGCACTGACTGTAGTAGCTGAAATGTGCCAAAACTCTGACATCACCTCCCCCCGTGGCCCCAGATACTTCCACCCGCACTTTCGAACATCATGACCAACCGTGCTTACGACCGTATCCGAAGAGAAAATTCGCACAGCGCCACACCCCCGAATATCCGACCTCTCCAGATAGGTGAACAGCCGAGAGGGCAGCGTGAACTTTTTCTGAAATTGTCGCATTTAATGTAAGCATTAGAGAAATCACGCGGATCTGTTAAAATCTCGAAAACCAGAGTTCAGAATCTCGAAAATTCGCATCTCGAATTTTCAACATCGCAAATTTTCAGGGTATCGGGTGTTCAGAACCGATTTTCCGAATCTTCAAATTTCATAATCTCTAATTTTCAGAATATTGAAATTTGCATAGGCTGGATGCAGGGCGTCCGCGGGCATGACTCTCGCCCTCTCTCTCTCTCTCTCTCTCTCTCTCTCTCTCTCTCTCTCTCTCTCGCTCTCTCTCTGTCTCTTTCTCTCCCTCCTCCTTCCGGGAGCTATCGCGAACGGGATTTTATCAGTATTTTATAGGATTTTTGTACAGAAAAAGAGCTGGGATTCAATGGTTGCCACCGTTATAAGACGTATTAGGCATTATAAGCATCGGCGTCATGTAACGTCAAACCAACCAACTATAGTGAGGGAGCGGCAGGCCTCCTCAGGCTTTCTTGGGCCGAATTGCATTTCCGCGCCTGCCGACGCCTGGCGGAAGCCTAAGGATTTACGCAGGCTTTTTATGCAAGGCGCAAAAACATGTTAATCTGGTTACTGCATCTAAAACGTTCGTATCTTTGACGCAATAACAAATTACAAGGATGCCGAAGGTGGGAAAAATATAAGCAAGCTGTCAGGAGAGGCAATTGCATCCCCCCGCCCTTTCGAACCGACTCTTGGCTTTTGTGTTTCCGCGTGCTATTAACGCATCGTGCCGTAAGGTTTGTCGAAGACAGTAACCTAACTTTGTAGAATATTCTGAGACCCAATACAGCTCTTCGACCCCCCGGAAGTTTAAAAAAAATTCCTGATTTGTTCGGCAAATCTTCGAATATTCTACGACTTTACATAAAATTCCCAGATAAAGCCTGACTAATTAGAGGTCAGGCGTACTTTGCATAGCCCAGGCTCAGCCTAGGCGATGCAAATTAAAAAAGCCTGAGGAAGCCTAGGCAAGCCGGTTCTATACCGGTAACGGGGTCCTTAAAAAAAATAAGGGTCCTTAAAAAAATAAGGGTCCTTAAAAAAAATAAGGGTCCTTAAAAAAATAAGGGTCCTTAAAAAAAATAAGGGTCCTTAATAAAAATAAGGGTCCTTAGAATTTAAGGTTAAGGACCCCTGTCCCGACAGGGGTCCGTAAAATAGATGCTATTTTTAAGGACCCCGATTCCGGCAACTCCCGAAAATACAGTATTTGCGCCGTTTTCGCGGAGCGGCGGATTCGCGACAGATTGTCCTTTGTTTCGCATTTTGAATTACACCCAGTTTGTGCCTAAAAATAAGGCTTCGTGCCACCCGGGGCCTAGTCGCTTCGGATGGGTGCGAGCTCGTACAGGGTTTCGAAATGGGGGCGCCAAGGCCGGCGAAGCGGCCGGGGGCGCCCCCATTTCGAAAGAGTGGAGCGGCAGCCCATCCGAAGCGACGGCCCACCTTGCCTGACACACCATAAGCCTCGAATTGTCCCTGGCTAAAAAACCTAGCACGTCAGATTGCGTGGAATTTTCTGTGGGGATGAGCACGATTTGAGGCTTATGGCGTGTCAGGCAAGGCGGGCCGTCGCTTCGGATGGGCTGCCGCTCCACTCTTTCGAAATCGGAGCGCCTGGCCGCTGCGCGCGCCTCGGGCGCCCCGATTTCGAAACCCTGTACGAGCTCGCGCCCATCCGAAGCGACTAGGCCCCGGGGTGGCACGAAGCCTTATTTTTAGGCACAAACTGTGTGTAAGAAAGCCGCGTAATGTAAATGGCTAAATGAGGCACAATCTGTGCAAAATCGGTGAAAATACTGTATTTTCGGGAGTTGCTGGAATCGGGGTCCTTAAAAATAGCATCTATTTTAAGGACCCCTGTCGGGACAGGGGCCCTTAACCTTAAATTCTAAGGACCCTTATTTTTTTAAGGACCCTTATTTTTATTAAGGACCCTTATTTTTTTAAGAACCCTTATTTTTTTTAAGGACCCCGTTACCGGTATAGAGCCGGCAAGCCTAGGCTTTAGCCTAGGCCTCCCTCACTCTACAACCAACTATCATTAAAACCAGTCAAGTCATTAAAACCAACTATTTTAGGGTTTTTTTTTGCGTTGCTCTTACCGTGGTCTCCTGCGGCTGATACAACTGGAAAGTAAACGCAATGTACAAGAGACGCGTCGAGTCGCCGGGCGGAGGGCACTGTAATTTTATCGTAAAGCCTCTTATTTACGCGACACGCCAAAACGCGGGGCGGCGCAGATCGACGGGATTTAGGCTGGCCTCGACGGGAAAACGCCAAAATCCCGATAGCCAAGACTTCGAAAACCAAAATCCCAACAGCCAAAATCCCGACAACCAGAATCCCAACAGCCAGAATCCCGACACCCAGATCCCGACAGCCAAAATCCTGACAGCCAAAAACCTCAGATTTTAAAACAATTCTCAAATCAAAAAAATCATGGCCAAACGACCGGAATTATCACATTTTGGCTGTCGAAATCATGCCTATCGAAATTTTTACTATCGGATGTTGGGGCAGACGTAAGGATGCGATAGTTTTTGTATACCGTAATCGCCACATACCGTAACCAGGGCTGATTCCAGCACAACCAACAGTGAATCAACCGCTTTTTCCCATGCAGCCGCTGTCCAATACCAGACGGCGAGCGTGATTCGCGGGATGTGACAAACCTACACAAGTCAAATAATAAGCACCTATAAACCCGAACCAGTTTGAAGACCAGCCCGAAATCTTCCTGTACATCGAGGGCTTCGGAGACGTTTCCGAACCTCAATTCGATCTGAAAAATTCTTTACGTCGACCTTTTCGGCGGTTTTTATAGGGTCTCTCTTGAAAATTGAAGAAATCGTGTACGCGAACCAGGGCACATATCTGTGGATACCCAGCGTAAAGACCCTTACGTGGTCGGGTTGTCTGCGTGGTCGAGCCTCATACAGCTGTTGAATCAGATCGCGATGTCCTCTGTTTACCAAGATCGTGTAAAAAGACCCTCGCAAAATGTCTAACGCTTCGAGTGCCCGAATTTCGTCCTGAAAACGCGATATTCCGCGTTATCGGAGAGAGAGAGAGAGAGAGAGAGAGAGAGAGAGAGAGAGAGAGAGAGAGAGGGAGAGAGACGGCAAATTTTCACCGAAGGCTCGTCGATATATTGGCAGTCCTGTGGAAGCAGGGGTCGCATAAGTCTATTCAAGAAATCGAACAGCCGCGCCGGCGACGTTATGGGCAGTTCCACCTTGTACCGGCGATTTTCTTGGCTCGCCGAGCTGAAAAGGAATCATCCGGGCTTAAAGGAGCTCCGAAATCTGGCCCACGGCCCCACTGTTTTAATTCCTGGCAAATAGCCACAGAAGAACGCAGCGCATCATCTTTTGCCCATGTTTGGACGCGAAAACGCGTAGATTTCAAAATTCTGACGCTATTTCTCGAATCCTCACCGAATTTTGATCATTTTCCCCTTTTTTTTATTATGAAAATTGGCCAGAGTATGACCGAGATCGAGAGATTGGGTCCCTTACAAGGCATTACGACATGTAATCCATCCCAGCGAACCCGAATTTTGACCTCCGAGCCCCTTGCAGCCACCGAGAAAACGGTATTAACCACCTACCCCGCACAGTATTTGTATTCCAGACACAGACCGCGATGCCCACGAGGGTGCCAAATCCCAAAACAGCTGCCGCCATTCGAATCCATTATAATTAAGGTGCTGCATCCAGGGACGGGATCGAGACGATCCTAAAAATTTATTTTTTCTATAAAAGAAGATAGGGTCAACCTTTAATTTGCCGCCTAAGCCTACATATTAGTAACAGAGCCAGAATTTTTTAGTGTTTTAATAGTTTTTGAGTGCTAGAACGTTAAAATATCTTAAAAAATGTTGAAAATTGAACATTTCGGCGTTTTTGGTAATTTTCGTTGTTGACCAAAAATTCAAAAATGTTTGTTAATTTTCATAATATGTGTAAGATTCCATAAAATCGTTTATATCTCGCTGTCTTACGAACTACTTAAATACTGGCGACAAGTGGACCCACGTACCACAACGTCCAGGTCTGAGAACCGGGTTGCCAATAAAAACCGATGGGCCGGCTGCTCGGCAAAAATCTACAAATGTATGCTTTGTCGGCATCGTAATCGCAATTTGCCTTCGACACTCGGCGAAGGTCAAACTTCTCAATAAATCGGAGTTTATGGTAGACCGCCACTTTTTGCGTCAGGGGTAAGCCGCGAAAATTGAGCGACTCCCGGGACATGGTCATTCAGGATACGGTACTCTGAAAGACCCGGAAAGAGGTATCTGAAAGAAAAAATTTCTGACCCTCCACAAAAATGAGATAGGGTTACTGAGGCATATAAGGGCAGATGGCGACGGGATCGAAGGATCGGCGATTCCGCCAGGACGATTGATTATTTTGGCGACCTAATGGTGTATCATTAACATCTGCCCGAGTTTTATCTTTTAATTTATTGATCATTTGCCTCTCGCGCTCTCTCTCTCAGACTGTCGCTCTCTTTCTCTCTCTCTCTCTCTCTCTCTCTTTTTCTGTCGCTCTCTCTCTGTCTCTCACTTTCTGTCGCTCTATCTCTCTCTTTCTCTTTCTCACTCCCGCTCTCTCTGTCTCTCTCTCTCTCTCTGGCTCTCTCTCCCTCTCTCTCTATTTTTCTGTCGCTCTCTCTCTGTCTCTGTCTCTCTCTCCTTCTCCCTCTCTCTCTATCTTTCTCTCTCTCTCTCTCTCTCTCTCTCTCTCTCTCTCTCTCTCTCTCTCCCTCTCTCTCACCTGCCATCTGCTGCCGATCGACACCGATCTACATATCAAATCGATTCTGTTTTCTTGGGGGACCGCTGGGTTAAATCGCTATCTCGCGTCTGGAATTTGTTCTTATTATTAGAAGACATCTCGCTGGTGACAATTTGCTGGGGTAGAAAGATAGGCGCATCATTTACACTTGATATTTGTGGGTCCGATTCCCATGAAGCCGGACAAATTCAGGTATTTCAATTCTTGCAATTAATTGTGCCACACGCAAAGGATAAATGGAGAAACGCACTTTGCATGATCAATTACCTCGCCAAAAACGGACACACCGTTGCGAAAAGCGGTGCTTTTCGTGAACGACGAGGCGATGAATTGGTTGCGCACGAAGGTACGGCAAGAGGGTAGTCCTTCTTTTAAAGGTTATGCTTAGATTTTCAAAAATGAAAAAGAGTCGCCGAGAGGCGGGTCGAGAAGCCAGTCTTCCCCCGCTTTGTTAGAGGTACTTTCAAAGCCTAAATCGCTAACCCGCACATGCTAGGGAAAGCTTCATCAGCCCCCAGCGACCCTGAAGCCCTCCGGCACCTCGCAACGCTCGGTGGGCATCGGCGGGATTGAACGTCGACTGGAGGAAAGCAACCGGCAGACGCAGAATAGGATCTCGCACGTGGGTTTGGGGTTCTTACGCATTATCGGGGGGGGGGGACAAAATTATTTCTTAGGATCCAATGTTTCCTAATCATTATTCGATAGAGGAAGTGTTTCTAAACTGTTTTTTTACTATTCCCAACCGTAATAACTTTATCAATTTTCGTAAAAAATACAAAAATATAGTTTTTTTTCGGCTAAAGTTCGCGGTTTTTGATCAAATTTTTGCAGTTTTTCTAGTTGCAAGATAGTTTTATTTTACTAAAAACATTATTAAAATACTTCCTATAGAGTCACTAGGCATTTCTGGAATTATACAGAAAATCCCCCCCCCGGCCCCACCCGATAACGCGAAAAAACCGGGTTCGGAGGAGAGATCCAGAAAATTAGAATCAGACCGCGAAAAGCCGACGAAAACCAGCTATAAATTTTTCTACAGGCATTCGAGGACCTATCCGTCCTCATGGACGAAGCCCGGACGATGGTCGGCCTCTCGCGAAGCATCGCCGAAAAAATGCGCGCGATGAAGGGCAGCGTTAGTGATAACGAGGTGATGTACACATATATCTCGAATGTATACCATTGAATTTACGGCTACACTGTACTTTACCCCCCCCAGCCGGAATATTTTGGCTATAACTTTTTTATTTTGCATCATTGTAGGCTCAAATTAAAACTGTTCGTATATTGTTCGAAGCTATAAAGAATGGCGGTGCAAAAATGCCGACAAAATAAGCGAAAATACCGAAAGCTTTGAGACCCTTCGGCTGTGGGGGGGAAGTAAAGTCTTACCTTTTTGACTTTGAGAGCTTGAATTATGAATTCCCTTACTCGTTAAAAACTTTACAAATCGAGATTATAAATTTTACATAGTTTATATAAATTTTTATAAAGTCTTACCGAATTTACAGACGATCGAGTTCAAGTCCTACCTCCTATCGCTCGGCGTCGCCAACCCGGTGACGAAGGAGATGCACGGCAGCGGGGCGCGCTACTTCGAGAAGCTGGCCGCCGAGCTGTCGGATGTCCTCAAAAAACCGTTAGAGGTAGAGAAATCGATTAATGTTGTACTTTGTAGGGTTCTTTCGCATTATTGGGGGGGGGGGCATTTCCTAATATTTCCTAGGAACCACTTTTTGAAATTGAAATAGCGGAAGTGTTTCTAGACGGTTTTTTACTATCCCTAACGCAAAACCTTATACAAATTTTATCAAAAATGGCTAAAAATATCGATTATTCGAACAAAAATGGCCGTTTTTGACAAAAATTTTGGCTTTTTGAAAAATTTAGGAAGTTTTTAAACAAGTTTCTGCCAACAATATGTTTTTGTTTTACTGACAACATTATGAAAATACGTTCTATTAGATTACTAGACATTTCTAGATTAATACCCCCCCCAGATAATGCGAAAGAACCTTTTTTTTAGTATTCCGCTTTCGAAACCGCGGACAAATAAACACGAGCGATGTCTATTTCCAGGAAAACGGCGGTATGATGCTGCTCCCGGAAGCGTTTTGTCGCTTGAACCGCGCCAGGGGCGAGATGCTCGTCTCGCCCGAGGATTTGCTGAACGCGTGCAAGGCGCTTGAAAAGATACAAACCCCGATCGAGTAAGATATGGGCATTTTAGATCCATTTTTGCTCTTGCTAGACTGCACCGCTTCGCTTCCGGCGTGCTGGTGATCCAGTTGAAGGCAGCGGCCGTTGAGAAAACGATCAGCAACACGGAGCAACTCGTTTTGCTGAATGGCTCGTTGTCGGCCGCCGAACTTGCAGCCACGCTCGGCATTACCGTGATCTTGGCTAAAGAAAGGTATGGTTGTCAAATTAATTAAAAAAAAATGGTAGAATTTGGAAACATTTCGTACCACTTTTGTTTCAGGATGATTGCCGCCGAAAAACTGGGCCTCCTTTGCCGCGACGACACCTTCGAGGGTCTGCGCTTCTTCCCCAACAAATTCTGCGCCTGAATCACCTATAATAAGCAGTGTTCTATTGTCTATTTTTGTGGATAAACTTTTATAAAAGTTGCAACAAAAACCACAATGAAAATTTCTGCTTGGAATTCCAGATTTCCGAGACACTCCGTTCGACGCTTATCCCGAGTTTTAAAAGACACCTATTACCGTAACGGCGAGAAATCGATGGGCAGCGCGGAGGCGTCTCGTTTTCTTTTTTCTCCGATTTCCTCAATGAGCCCGAGCGTAACAAATGTTACTTCCTTTTTGGTCTTTTCTTATCTTTGACGATTTTAGAATTTCTGCTTTGATAGCTGGTAGCTCTTGCGCTTCATTTTAGGTATCCTTGGGCTGTTTTAAAGTATTTCAATTGGTAGTTTAGGTTTTCCTATAGGGCGTGTTCGTTGCTCTTTTTGGTTTCTACTTCGCTATCTTTTGACTCATCCGCTTCGCTCATGTCTGATATCTCGCTTTCCATTTCCATTCCTGTTTTACTTCGGCCTTTTTCACGTTCTCATTCCTTTTTTTCAGGGGTAACGATGAATACGAAGTTGGCGCTTCTTCTACTCGGCTCGATCGGCATGGCACTGTGCCGCGAGTCGAGCGGATACGGCCTCGGAGATGCGGTCTACGGCGGCTACAGCAGCGGTGAATCCAGTGGTGAAGCGAGCGGCTACGCTAGCGGGGAATCAAGCGGTCAAGCAAGCGCCTATGGCACCAGCGTGTCCGGCGATCAAGGAAGCGGATCCAGCGGCGAGTCGAGTGGCCAAGGACACAACTTCGATGACGGTGAGGGCAGCGGGCTCAGCTCGGGCGAAATCCTGCAAGACGACCTGATCGTCGGCCCGGATGGCTCTCGCATCGAGCGCCTGTTCATCAAGGAAGACGGCAGCGGCCATTCCGTTGAAGGCAGCTTCGACCCGCTCGACAGGATCATCGAAGATGTCCGCATCCACGGTTCCAATGGCAAGGATATTCGTCGTGTGCAGGTGATTTTTTAATTACGGTTTCGTGAGGTGGTTAGTGGCGGTTCACATCTTGAGATTTATCTTTTGTTTTTAGCTCGTTCAACCCGGTGTCGGCCAGACCCGTGGGCGCGGCAGCGGAGAATCAAGTGGTGAAGCAAGCGGATCCAGCGGCGAGTCGAGCGGCCAAGGAAACGATGACGGTGAAGGCAGCGGGCTCAGCTCGGGAGAAATCCTGCAAGACGACCTGATCGTCGGCCCGGATGGCTCGCACATCGAGCGTCTGTTCATCAAAGAAGACGGCAGTGGCCATTCCGTTGAAGGCAGCTTTGACCCGCTCGACAGGATCGTCGAAGATGTCCGCATCCACGGTTCCAATGGCAAGGACATTCGCCGTGTTCAGGTAGTTTTATTTTTGTCTATATGTATGAAGTTTTTTGGGTTTTCACATTTATCTTTTCGTTTAGCTCGTCCAACCCGGCGTCAGCCAGACCCGTGAGCGCGACAACGGGGAATCAAGCGGTGAAGGAAGTGGATCCAGCGGCGAGTCGAGTGGCCAGGGAAACGACAACGATGACGGTGAAGGCAGCGGGCTCAGCTCGGGCGAAATTCTCCAAGACGACCTGATCGTCGGCCCGGATGGATCACGCATCGAGCGCCTGTTCATCAAGGAAGACGGCAGCGGCCATTCCGTTGAAGGCAGCTTCGACCCGCTCGACAGGATCATTGAAGATGTCCGCATCCACGGCTCCAATGGCAAGGATATTCGCCGTGTCCAGGTAGTTTTTTTGATTTGTCTATAGGTATGAAATTTGGCACTATTCGAGTTAGGGGGCGCAAAAATGTTTTGCGGTCATTCTTCGTGTTTCTTGGCGCTTGGGCTTCTTCGGCTTGGCTTCTGGGCGGGGTTAAATACCCTTGCCTTAACTTAGCTTTACATAGCTTCGGCGGAGCTATTTAAGTTGAGTGGCCCCAAGGGCGTCAAAAAAAAATTTGTCGATCGGGGGTCCCCGATCGGCCTAGAAATCAATATTCTGGGGTAGTTTTGTGCGCTGAGTACGAATTTAATACTTTTAGACTACAAAAATTTAACTTTAGACTACAAACTACAAAAAATCAAAAATCGTCAAAACACGCGGAAAACACATTTCCGGGGCCGTTTTTTGCGCTGAATCCTATTCTTGTTAGGATTCGCGGCCAAATTGCATATTTTTTAAAGGCTACAATCATCTCACGGTCAATCACCAGATGAACTTTGTTGATCCGGTTACTGGCTCTCATACTCAATCTGTTGAGAGCCAATGGAACAAGTTCAAAAAAGAGAATCAGGAAATCAAACGGCCTTAACACATCCACGAATGAGAGATACTGTGATTTTCTCAGTGACTTCATGTGGCGCCAAGAATTTGCCGATCGCAATCACATTTTCTACCACTTTTGGTCACACGTTGTCACAATGTACCCGTGTGAATAAGCCAGTCGCCCGGTCAAACTTCCCAAAACCTATACCAACGGCCCTCTTAAGGGTCACAAATTTAAAAAATATGCAATTTGGTCGCGAATCCTAACAAGAATAGGATTCAGCGCAAAAAACGGCCCCGGAAATGTGTTTTCCGCGCGTTTTGACGATTTTTGATTTTTGGTCGTTTGTAGTCTAAAGTTAAATTTTTGTAGTCTAAAAGTATTAAATTCGTACTCAGCGCACAAAACTACCCCAGAATATTGATTTCTAGGCCGATCGGGGAGCCTCGATCGACAAAATTTTTTTGACGCCCTTGGGGCCACTCGACTTAAATAGCTCCGCTTCGGCTTAACTCTGTTCAAGCTCGCTTTAACTAAGCGCAGGCTTAGCTTAGATTAGGAGTAGAGTTTGGCGCAAGCCGCGTAACACTGTCCAAGTATCCGAGTAAAAATCCGTCTCCCAACGTGACCGAAAGTTTTTGTTTTCACATTTATCTTTTCGTTTAGCTCGTTCAACCCGGCGTCAGCCACACTCGTGCCGCCCGCAGCGCCCCCGTCCAGGAAGAAAATCTGACCGATGGTTCTGGTGAAGACAAGGAGTGTGTGGCCGCCGCCGCTTGCGAATCTGCTGGCGACTGCAATGGTGGAAGCTGCGTGGGATTCTTCCCTGGAAAGTACGTCTTCTTTTTCTTGTATAATCCCTTTGTAGGTGCGACTGCAGCGCTTGCATCACTGGCTTGCCCTGCAAGGATGACTCTGCTTGCGGAGGTCTCAAGGACTCGTGCGACACCACGATCAAGATTTGCCGTTGCGCTGAGGTGAGTAGCTTTTTAGTTGTAGGGTGAACTTGGTGTTCCTAACTCTGTAATGTTTTTGTTTCAGGCATTCGCCAAGCACGGCTTCCCCTCTCTCGGCATGGCCTTCGGCGAGCTGTGCAACGTCAAGACGTGCGAGGCCGGCGACTGCCTCGGGCTGCCATGCAACAAGGGACTCTGCGCCTGCACCCCGAAAGCCAACTAACTGCTCATCGGTTCGCCCTCTCACTTGTGATTCCGATTGTCTGTGATTATGCGCAATTCCTATAATTTGTCATTTTGCAATGCGGATCAAATAAAGTGTATTGGTCGGGAGAAAGTGGTGTGAAGTTATGAAGGACTTGAAAAGCTCACGGTAGCCGCCATATTCGGTTGTGGGTTTTTTTTGTACTTATGTGAGGCCAAAATGAGAACACTGAAACAAACTTCATTTCCTCTGAAGATGCAACACGCGCGGTGCAAATGGTGGTACTGCCCGAACCCGTTTTCCGGTGGCTGCCATTGTCGGGGTGGGTGGATGAGATGAGGCGCGAAAACAGTGCCATTGATATTGATCACCAGCTGGAATGTTGGCTCATTGGTTGACCGCTGCGCTACTACTCGGATTTGTGCACTCGTCGATAAGGTTTGCTTTGTTTTGCAGTCTTTCACCGAAAGGAAGACCTCGTATCCCCCTTTCAGAGTTAAACGGAACGGCTTCACCAATAGCTATGGCTACGGCCCGATGGGCGTCGGGCCGACGAATGGTGGCTTCGATAGCTTTGGGTTTTACCGGTAGGCTTACTAGGTTAAAGGTAGTACGAATAAGCCCATTGCCCAAGTATGACACATCGGCAGAACCTAGGAAGTGACAACGACCAATTAGACGTTTAGAGACAAATACTACAACGCAGGCCTTCCGCCGCTCTATACCTTCCAAGCCTATCGAAACTACTACCACGAGATCTCTTTCCACAAAAACAAATACGGGCAACCGGCGCCGAGCACCTTTGAAGAGTTGCAGCAGGAGAGATATGGTTGTTGGATAACTTTTAACGTAGAATTTTGCATTTTTCAGGGCCCTATTACAAGGGCGTCTGGGGCTACGCGCATCAATCACCCAACTGGTTCGGCTGATCGACGTTACACAAATTTGCGATGTTTTCGGATCGTTCAGAAAATAAAAATACGCTTTTCAAGGCGACCAAAACCTTTTTCCGCGTTTCCCCTGCTTTCTAGTTACCTTAAATTTGATCAGGTTTATTTTCAATTTCTTTCGACGTTTTTGTCACAAAATAACACCTTGTCTCTGCTCTCTTTCCTTTGCCAGCCCTCCAGACGTTTGGCCGACGACGGAAGTGCGCCCGAGCGATTTTTAGGGCCGCCAGGGATTTTTTGGGGGCACCCAGTAGCTTCAAAAATTGCTTTCCCATCTGCAGCTTTCTCCGCTAAATCCAGCAAAGAAATTTAATTAATGGTAGGTCTTGTAACCATTTTATTTATGCATTCTTTTTAATCCAGAGCAGCGGCCGGATCCTGCCGTTCGTCAACACATTTGGCGGTGAGTATGTCAATGTATATCAAAACCAATTAAAAACAAAAAGAAATGTTTCTGAGTTGTTTTTACTAACCCGAAACGTACAAACTACAAATTTTTATTAAGCAATCGATTGCGATTAATCGCGATATATCGAATTTTCCATCAAAAACCAGTCGATATCAGCCGCTTCGCGGCTGCTATCGACTGGCCCTCCCGGGGGGCAAGGCAATAAAGGGTGCTTCCCATTCTCTTTAGTATGTTTCCCGCTTGGCGCCAATACCTTCCGTGATCTACCTACGCCCCTCCTCCAAAACCAAAGAGCCTTTACCTCCTCCTCTTCCCCCTGAAAGAAGCCTCCGAACATCCTTAGTTGATCCTAAACAAAAATAGAAGGGAAGTGTAATGGTCAGCACACCCCCTAGAAGCAAAGCTATCACCTTCTTTCAGAATAAAAAACATAGAAGAAACTTGTAATGGCTAGAATACTCTCAGAAACAACGGCAGATCCCTTCATTACCAAAAAAAACATCTAAGAATCACGTAATGGCTAGAATACCCTTGAAAAGAAAGTTATCTCCCTTCTTTAATACTAAAAAACATCTAAGAAACGCGTAATGGCTAGAATACCCTCGAAAAGAAAGTTATCTCCCTTCTTTAATACGAAAAAACATCTAAGAAACGCGTAATGGCTAGAATACCCTCGAAAAGAAAGTTATCTCCCTTCTTTAATACGAAAAAACATCTAAGCACGGGGTTTTTAACCTTACTTGGGGCGCGCACGAGAGGGAGAGAGGGAATGGGCGAGGCCACGCCCCCTTTTCGCCCCCAAAATGTATTAGAAAATCCCTTCTAATGGCTATAACTTTTTTTCTAGAAAAAATGACAAATTCTCCGCCTGGTAATTTGTAGAGAAGACCCTCGGGAACATTTTGGTAAAAGAATCTCAGCGATCGTGAGGAGAAACAAGGATTTGAAACGCTTTGAAGCGATTATCAAGGCGTTAGGGCCCCAGGTCGCCCCATTTTCCTAATTTTCTGCCTGAGATTCGCCACAGATTTGTTGTCGGCGCTTTTCTGAGTATTTTGCAACAAAAAGCAAAACCATGTCATGATTTTACGCGAGGAGAGGAATCGAACCCTGACCCTCCGCCTGACGCCGCCTTGGCCACGCCCCCCAGACCCCCGTGCGCGGAAAAAAACCCCGTGTAAGAAACGCGTAATGGCTAGAATACTCTCAGAAACAACGGCAGATCCCTTCATTACCAAAAAAACATCTAAGAAACGCGTAATGGCTAGAATACCCTTGAAAAAAGTTATCTCCCTTCTTTAATACTAAAAAACATCTAAGAAACGCGTAATGGCTAGAATACCCTCGAAAAGAAAGTTATCTCCCTTCTTTAATACGAAAAAACATCTAAGAAACGCGTAATGGCTAGAATACCCTTGAAAAAAGTTATCTCCCTTCTTTAATACTAAAAAACATCTAAGAAACGCGTAATGGCTAGAATACCCTCGAAAAGAAAGTTATCTCCCTTCTTTAATACGAAAAAACATCTAAGAAACGCGTAATGGCTAGAATACCCTTGAAAAAAGTTATCTCCCTTCTTTAATACTAAAAAACATCTAAGAAACGCGTAATGGCTAGAATACCCTTTGAAACAAAGTTATTCCCCTTCTTAGATTCTAAAAAAACATCTAAGAATCACGTAATAGCTAGAACACCCTTGAAAGAAAGTTATTTCCCCTTCTTAGATACTAAAAAACATCTAAGAAACGCGTAATGGCTAGAATACCCTTGAAAAAAGTTATCTCCCTTCTTTAATACGAAAAAACATCTAAGAAACGCGTAATGGCTAGAATACCCTTGAAAAAAGTTATCTCCCTTCTTTAATACTAAAAAACATCTAAGAAACGCGTAATGGCTAGAATACCCTTTGAAACAAAGTTATTCCCCTTCTTAGATACTAAAAAAAACATCTAAGAAACGCGTAATGGCTAGAATACCCTTGAAAAAAGTTATCTCCCTTCTTTAATACTAAAAAACATCTAAGAAACGCGTAATGGCTAGAATACCCTTTGAAACAAAGTTATTCCCCTTCTTAGATACTAAAAAAACATCTAAGAATCACGTAATGGCTAGAACACCCTTGAAAGAAAGTTATTTCCCCTTCTTAGATACTAAAAAACATCTAAGAAACGCGTAATGGCTAGAATCCCCTTGAAAGAAAGTTATTCCCCCTTCTTTAATACGAAAAAAGCAATAAAAACCGTTGCGAAACGATTATTCTTTTGTTTGGGGATTCCTGCTATCATTAATGCGCGAACGGCCCATGTGACCTTTGGCCCCACCCCCTCTCCCCGGGACATGCCCTGGGGGCACGTTGAATTCCCGGTCGCGGTCGGGCGCACGGACATTAGAAATTTATATATAGTAGATGGCCGTTTTTGACCAAAATTCCAACTTTTTGAAAAATTTTGCAAGTCTTAGGTAGCTTTTTAGTTAAAATCAAGTTTAATGTTACTAAAAACGTTATGAAAAGACCTTCTATTAGGTTACTAGGCATTTCTAGATGAATACCAAAAAACCGTTGCCCCATTTTTCTATCTATCTGTCTCACTATCTGATATCTGATCTAAAACAGTCTGATTTTTTTCGTTGTGAAGCCGCTAATTTTTTTAGTTGATCTTTCAGGCCTATTAGCCGCCGGGCTGCTTTGCGTTGGGCTCGTGTGCAGCTGTGTGCTATGCATCTGTCTTTTCTGCTGCTCACATTGCATGGATATACTGGCCGAGAAGACGAAACGAAAGGATTCCGAGCGGCGCCTCATTGCGCCGGCTTAACGTGTCGTTGTTAATACGGATAAATCATACAAATACGCGAACGTGCGACCCCGTTTCCGCATGGAATTAATTGTGCCGTAGACTTAAAAATGGGGTTCCTTTCAAAAGGACGAAAGTCATAATGTCGAAATTTCATAATGTCGATTTCAGAATGTCGAATTTTCAGCATCTCGAAATTTAAATGGGCTGGATTCAGGGCGTAAGCCGGCAATTCCGGCAGCCATTAATGTTGATTTATACTATGGAAATTTCGAGATTCGGGAAATTCGCGTTTCTCAAAATCCGAGATTTTGAACAAATGGATATTCTGAACACTCGAGATTCTAAATTTCGAGATTCTGAAATTCGAGATTTTAAAACTTCGAGATTACCTGATAGGTAACCATCATTTCATGATTTGTGCGATTTTTGATGCGATTTTTCCGTTTTTCTCCAAGTAACATTTTTATCCAACAAGCCCACCAAAAAGAAAACACCAACAGAGTGAAGCCAACAGGCGAGCAAAAATCGCGGGGGGGAGGGAAACAGGGCCAACAACATGGGCATGGATATGGCCGGTGGGGAGGGTAGGTTTTTCGAATTGTGAGGTTTTTTTGAGGGGGGGGGGATACGGTAGGGGGACGGTAGTTCGGAATAACAGGCGAAGCGAACAAATAGCATTATCAAAAGATGGAAAACGAAAAACAAAAACAGAACTCAAAAATAGGGGGAAAATTCAAGGGGTTGAGCGGGGAAAAGGACTAACAATGCAAAATTTGGGTCACGTTTTCAGATTTCCGAGGATTATCGGGTGGAATTTGGAGTGTATCGGAGTGGGTCTTTGCTGTTTTTGCTTGTTTCAAACGGGCGGGTGAAAGATAGCGGGGGCGTTTTGGAAAGAAACGGAAATAACAATTTTTTTCTCGGGGGTAAATTCTGGTATAGGGGGATAACAATTGGATAATGCCTACACACACGCATCAGGCTAGGTGGGGGGGATTGCACACGGTCACGAGTTTTGCGCGCAATTCTTTGGTGATTTTCACGGGGTTACGGTATGCCTCAGATACCGTAGCCCGCTCGGAAAGCCCCCGAAAAAATGCCCGGCAAAAACGCGAGCAGGCGGGCAAAATAGACCGCACGATACCCTAAAAACGCGATAGCTCGTGAGCATCATAGCCGTACGGGGGGTATGTATGTGAGGGGGGGTAGAGACAGAGTGGGACACGATCATGCTCAAGGTGGGGGTACTGTACCTTATCCATGTTACAGGTGTTACGGTTTGCGTGTCCGTGGCTGTCGCTTAGTTTGCGTGTGTACAAGTGGGTCGGTGAAACGGGGTCCCGAGGCGAAATTTGGGCGAACTTTTTTGGGATTGACGTAGATTTGGGGCTAAGCCAAGCCTAAGCCAAGCCTAAGCCAAGCCTAAGCCAAGCCTAAGCCAAGCCTAAGCCAAGCCTAAGCCAAGCCTAAGCCAAGCCTAAGCCAAGCCTAAGCCAAGCCTAAGCCAAGCCTAAGCCAAGCCTAAGCCAAGCCTAAGCCAAGCCTAAGCCAAGCCTAAGCCAAGCCTAAGCCAAGCCTAAGCCAAGCCTAAGCCAAGCCTAAGCCAAGCCTAAGCCAAGCCTAAGCCAAGCCTAAGCCAAGCCTAAGCCAAGCCTAAGCCAAGCCTAAGCCACCTAAGCCAAGCCTAAGCCAAGCCTAAGCCAAGCCTAAGCCAAGCCTAAGCCAAGCCTAAGCCAAGCCTAAGCCAAGCCTAAACCAAGCCTAAGCCAAGCCCAAGCCAAGATTTCGCCAACGGGTTTTCAGACGGCGCGCGGCCGGCCGGGCCCCACCGCCTTGCTGTACATGCCGGCGGCCGGGTGCGAGCGCGTCACCCCAATGAGGGGGGAAGGTACTGTAGGGGGGCTGTGGGTTACGGTAGTTCACAGGGGATGTGATGCGGCTTTTAAAGGGGTTGGGAACCTTGTGGGAAGCGGCTTGCTGGTTCGAGAGAAAATTTTGAGCCGGAGAGGCTGGAAAAACGAGAAATTAGTGATTTTGGAGTTTTTGAGGTGGGTTTGACCTCTTAAAAAGTGTGCAAGTTAAGAATTACGATTCCGTTGGGTTTGATTTAAATTCCAGATAATTTTCAGCCGCCTGTTGATCCCCCACCAAGGTCCCGGTACCTTTAAAATTAGTTTTGAACATTTAAAAACGATTTTTCGGGTTTAATTTTTTTTTGAATTTTGAAGAATGCATCACACCCTGGGTTCGGGTTAGAGGGTTTTGTTCAATTTCGGGAGGGTACATAGAAGCATTTGATTCAAGGCGAAGCGCAACGGAACGGACAAAAAAAAAACGAAAAATAGACAATGGTGTAACCGGAATGGGCGGGACTACATGATTTCGCGTATGTCAGGGGTTTGCAAGGCATTTTCGGCTGCGGGGTGTCCTAAATTAAATCGGCGGCGCGCCCGGATGGTGTGTGAAAAATGGGGCACAACAAACAGAAGACATTGCCTCCCCATTCACCATCCGGGGGTAGATTAACATGGGCTACTAATTTCAACATTCCTAGACTGTATAGCATCAAAACAGATACGGGGGGCGGGGCTTGAGGTGTTGAGCGCCAGCGACTTCGGCGAGTTCAACGGCGGTGCTGGGCCTGTTGCTGATGTTGTTGGCGGTTGTTGCGCTCGAGCAGTTCCATCAGGGGTGTCCACATCTGGAAATTTCACGTCAAAACCGGGAATTTAACCCCCAAGAACTCGAGTCCGATTTCCGAAATGATCTCTGCCAGCCTGCCCCTTCTATTCCCAAATGATATCTGCTAGCCTGCCCCTTCCATTCCCAAATGATCTCTGCTAGCCTGCCCCTTCCATTCCCAAATGATCTCTGCTAGCCTGCCCCTTCCATTCCCAAATGATCTCTGCTAGCCTGCCCCTTCCATTCCCAAATGATCTCTGCTAGCCTGCCCCTTCCATTCCCAAATGATCTCTGCTAGCCTGCCCCTTCCATTCCCAAATGATCTCTGCTAGCCTGCCCCTTCCATTCCCAAATGATCTCTGCTAGCCTGCCCCTTCCATTCCCAAATGATCTCTGCTAGCCTGCCCCTTCCATTCCCAAATGATCTCTGCTAGCCTGCCCCTTCCATTCCCAAATGATCTCTGCTAGCCTGCCCCTTCCATTCCCAAATGATCTCTGCTAGCCTGCCCCTTCCATTCCCAAATGATCTCTGCTAGCCTGCCCCTTCCATTCCCAAATGATCTCTGCTAGCCTGCCCCTTCCATTCCCAAATGATCTCTGCTAGCCTGCCCCTTCCATTCCCAAATGATCTCTGCTAGCCTGCCCCTTCCATTCCCAAATGATCTCTGCTAGCCTGCCCCTTCCATTCCCAAATGATCTCTGCTAGCCTGCCCCTTCCATTCCCAAATGATCTCTGCTAGCCTGCCCCTTCCATTCCCAAATGATCTCTGCTAGCCTGCCCCTTCCATTCCCAAATGATCTCTGCTAGCCTGCCCCTTCCATTCCCAAATGATCTCTGCTAGCCTGCCCCTTCCATTCCCAAATGATCTCTGCTAGCCTGCCCCTTCCATTCCCAAATGATCTCTGCTAGCCTGCCCCTTCCATTCCCAAATGATCTCTGCTAGCCTGCCCCTTCCATTCCCAAATGATCTCTGCTAGCCTGCCCCTTCCATTCCCAAATGATCTCTGCTAGCCTGCCCCTTCCATTCCCAAATGATCTCTGCTAGCCTGCCCCTTCCATTCCCAAATGATCTCTGCTAGCCTGCCCCTTCCATTCCCAAATGATCTCTGCTAGTTCCCTCTTGTTTTCCCCATAATTTCGTTGCTGCCGTACCTGACGATTTGCCGTCGACGACAAGATTGTCTTCTGAATCTCCTGTCGCTTGCCCCGGATCGAAAAATTGGGGTAGCAGGCCGAGAAGTCAAAGTTGTCGATCTAAAAATGGAAAGTTTAATTTTTAATGGATAAGCTACCTGTGTGGGCGTGTCGAGGAGGAATCGCTTGGCGTATTCCAGCACGTAGAGGCCATCGTCAGCCGGGGCGGACTGTTGGGGGAGGTTGTGCGGAACGACGGTTCTGAAAGGAATGGTGACGTGAGGAGAGAGAGAGTGAGAGAGAGAGAGAGAGAGAACGAGAGAGGGAGAGAGACCCACTTCATCGCCGGCAACTTGGTCGCCTTGCCGGACCGCTTGGCCCAGGCGTACCCCAGGAACTCCTCCACCACCTTCGACGCCACCGCCAGGTTGTTGTTGTCATCGTTGAGCAGCGAATCGAAGCACAGCTGAACGATTTAAATAAGGTAACCGGAATCTCTGTGCAAGCCTAATCCCAAGCCTAAGCTCAAGGCTAAGCCTAAGCCCAAGCTTAAGCCTAAGCCAAGCCGAAGCCACCTCCCTGAGAACTCACAATGGTCCCATTCTCCGTGAACGGGTGGCAAACAACAATCAACGACCAGTGCTCCCACTCGTTCACCGGGATCAGCAGAAAGTCCGACTCGAACAGCTCGAAGTCGTCGAGGAACTCGAGCAGGTCGGCGAACCGAGCCTCGTCCTGGAAATTTAGTGGTAAAGTTTGCGTTCTCAGTCCCTTTAAAAAGTCCTCACTAGCTTTGGCTCATCCCCAGCTCCCAATTAGTTGACCCCCATTGCCCAGCGTGGCGTGGTGGTCGCCTTGAATTTTTAGCCGGTCGACGTGTATGTCTTGGGGGGATGTGACCTTGGCCGAGAGCCACCCGATTCCCGAGATCAGATCAGTCGCCCCCGCTCCAATACGCTCCTAAATCATTTGCATCGACCGCCCGTGGCAATGGACACCAGGAGAAGGGTAGAGACAATGCGAAATAGGGGGAAAATAATAATACACTTAATGATCTCTGCTAGCCTGCCCCTTCCATTCCCAAATGATCTCTGCTAGCCTGCCCCTTCCATTCCCAAATGATCTCTGCTAGCCTGTCCCTTCCATTCCCAAATGATCTCTGCTAGCCTGCCCCTTCCATTCCCAAATGATCTCTGCTAGCCTGTCCCTTCCATTCCCAAATGATATCTGCTAGCCTGCCCCTTCCATTCCCAAATGATCTCTGCTAGCCTGCCCCTTCCATTCCCAAATGATCTCTGCTAGCCTGCCCCTTCCATTCCCAAATGATCTCTGCTAGCCTGCCCCTTCCATTCCCAAATGATCTCTGCTAGCCTGCCCCTTCCATTCCCAAATGATCTCTGCTAGCCTGTCCCTTCCATTCCCAAATGATCTCTGCTAGCCTGCCCCTTCCATTCCCAAATGATCTCTGCTAGCCTGCCCCTTCCATTCCCAAATGATCTCTGCTAGCCTGCCCCTTCCATTCCCAAATGATCTCTGCTAGCCTGCCCCTTCCATTCCCAAATGATCTCTGCTAGCCTGCCCCCGCTTTCTTGGCTGCCCACTCTGCCCCAAGCCCTTCGTGTCACTTTCGATGCCATTACGCACCCCGCGCTACCGTAGCCCTCATTTGCGGGGCGTGAATCAAAGGGCCCCTGATTCATCGGCTCGCACTTTCGGATTTGCCGGCTGTCCCGCTGTTCGCCGTCGCGATCACCGTATGACCCCCCGGCCCCCGGCCCGGATTCCGAATGTGTACTCAGAACGGGGCCCCCTTTCAAGCTATTTGGCGGGAAACTCTAGGGGGTTGCACTTTTTCTCATCAGGGCCCCGCTTTTTGCGAAAGTTTGGGGGGGAGCAGAAAAAACGCGGCAGCTCCGGGGGTCGTTGGCTGTCTATTGGTCTCTCTCTCTGTCTCTCTCCACTCTCTCGCCCCCAAATGTTGCCATTGGACCCTCGACCGGGGCTCATCACTGCTTCCTGTGTCTGGCCGGAGCCATTTTCCCGGGCGCTCCCCCGCTGCCAAAAGGTCACATGTGGGGCCATCAGGCTAGACGGGCGAGAGAAAGAGAGAGAGAGAGAGAACACAGACACAGCTAGACAGATATTTCAATCCCGGCGAGAGATCACGCGAGCGGCTTGTCACTTTCTGGGGCAATGTGGCACATTGGGTTTGCGATCAAGCCCGGGTACGGTAGTGAAATCGAGTTTGATGTAATCTATAGGGGTTTTGACTTCCCGGTCCCTTGAAAACTACGCAATTTTGGCATTCCATCGAATTTTGTGACTTTCCAACTCCTTTAGCATAAATTTGGCATTGTCCACGGTAGTTTTTAGCTTAACGATCCCTTTAAAGCCCACGTTAGCTAGAATCTGGAAAATTTCGGACGTTCCGATCCCTTTAAAAGCTCCTTTAGGTGGAATCTATAGATATTCTTTGCCCTCGGGTTCCTTTAAGGTACGTTTCAACAAAACTGTCGAATTTTGTGGCTCTTTCACCCCTTTGAAATTTGGTTGGATTGAAATCCATAGCACTTGTCGCTTCCTGGTCTCTTTAAAGTTGATTTTGGGTAGAATCCATAGTTTTTCGTTGACTTCAAGGTCCCTTTAAAGTCGATTCTGCGCAGTATATAAACCGTTTATGCCTTCCCGGTTTTTTAAAAACTATTTTAGCTCAAATTCATAACTTTTCGTAGACTTCAGGGTCCCTTTAAAGTAAATTTTATGCGGTATTTAGACAGTTTTTGCCTTCGCGGTCCCTTTAATTTTCCTACATCCCCTCAAAAAACGCTGTGTTCTGATCGGTACTCCACAAAAATCGTCGGGGGGTTTGGGTTGGCCGGTTGCCCCCCATCGGTCAGCTGTGTTTGCCGGGCGAGGGTCATTCTCTTGAGTCAGAGCGCGAGGCGAGAGAGCACGCCCCGGCGAGAGAGAGAGAGACAGAGAGAGAGAGAGAGAGAGAGACGCAGCCGCTCTCTTCTCTTTGGTATTTGTACCCGCGCCCGAGCCCCGTTTCTTTCGGTTGGTTCGCAATTCTTTTTCGCCCTCTTTTTTTCTTTGCTTTTGCGCGCCCGGGCCCGGGGTTTTTGGCTCTTTTCCGGGGCGGTAGTCTCGGCGCCTCAGCCGGGCCCAGTACCACCCAGCACCGCCCGGTACCGCCCCGGGAATTTCGCGCGCGCGCGCTCGCGAGGGGGGTTTTTCTGTGCTGCCGCGCTGTGCTCAAGGCCGAGAATTTGTGGAGGGGGAGGAACAGATGATTTCCACATGGACATACTTGTCTAGTCTAGAGAGAGAGAGAGAGAGAGAGAGAGAGAGAGAGAGAGAGAGAGGGAGAGATGGCTGAATTGGTAAGAATTTCTACACAATAGTTTCTAAAGTCAGATACCACGCCAAAAATTCGGAAATTGGCATAAAAATTGATGTGAAAGGCCTGGAAAGCTGCGAAAATTTCGCCAAATGGTTGTTTGCATCTTTTAGTTCGCCGATTTTTTGTTCGAAAAATTACCATCGCCAGGAGCACAAGAAGAAAGTTAGAAAAAGATTAAAAATGATCGAGAGAGAGAGAGATTTTTTGATTTATGCAAATTTGCAACCCCGATCTGATCATTGGTCCCCGAAAAACCCCCGCACTCGTCCCGAACACCTTTACGACGAGCCACAACCCCTGATCTCCCGACGCGGGATCGGCCAAATGATTGACATGTCTGGTGGTGTCATTTCTAGTACACTACGCTCCTATCGACGCCCCGCGTCCAGAGGGGGGGCTCGATTTCTAAAGGGCGCACCTGTTGGCTGGCGGTGAGGGTGGTGAAGTCTTCGGGGAGACATGAGTGCCGGATGCTGAGGTTGTGCCAGAAGACGGCTGGCAGCACGTTGACTCGTTTGTTACTGGAAAGGAGGCAAGTAAATTGGAATGATCTCTGCTAGCCTGCCCCTTCCATTCCCAAATGATCTCTGCTAGCCTGCCCCTTCCATTCCCAAATGATCTCTGCTAGCCTACCCCTTCCATTCCCAAATGATCTCTGCTAGCTCCCCCGAAATTCCAAAACACTCACGGTGCCTCCGGGAGCAGATGTTGTGCGATGTGATTCAAGAAAAAGTCGACGATCGTGTCGTTGAGCAGCTCCTTCTCTTGCAAACACAAAAAATCGGCCAACTTCACGGAGATCGAGAGGAACGGGAATCGAATTCGCAGCATTTCGGTGGCGGCGGACAGCACGGATACTCGCGATCCCTAAAAACGCAAAATTTTTAAGCCAAACTCAATTTTCAAGCTTTATTTTGCCTTGCCTGCCAGGTAAAAATCCGAAAAATGACAATTCTGATAACATACCCTTCCATAATTCGATTCGCTGCTGGACAGGCTGAAGATGTCTTGCTGTGAGGACTCCTCGCTGTGCATCTCCTCGTCCCAGTCATCACGCGCCGAAGAAGACGTGGCGCACGGTTCTGAAAATCGCGATTTTCTTCGTGACACCATCGCTTTAAATTTCAGGCCTAGGCTTAGGCTTAGGCGTAGGCGTAGGTTTAGGCTTAGATTGAGGCTTAGGCTTAGGCTTAGGCTTAGGCTTTAACTTAGGCTGAAGCCCAGGCTTAGGCTTGGCTTAGGCTAAGGCTCCGGGTTCTACCTCTAAAACCCACCTTCATAGCTCATCGCCTCGTCCTCATCATCGTCATTCCCGACGCTGCCGCCGACCAACGGGTTGTAGTTGGACAGCGACGACGAGAAGGCCAGCGACGAGCCGAAAGACCCGACGATGACCTTCTCGTAGTCGGTCGCGTCGTCGTAGCGATCATCCTCGTAAGAGACGCCCTACAATGAAATCGGGCTTGAAAGCTATGAAATGCCAGAATTTCGGTGTCACGGTCCCTTTAACCTGACAGTTTTGATCAAGAAATCAATATTTTTGGGATTTCAATAAAAATTTGTAAAGTTATGACGCATGACAATCGCAAAAAAATAATTTAGAAACGTTTCCCTATTTATGGGAAAAATTGGATCCTGGGGAATAAGCCCCCCCCGATAATGCAAAAACGCCGAATTCTAGCCATAATCCCGACAAAATGAAGTCCGGATTTTGGCAAAATCCTACAAAAAATCCCGACAGCAAAAATCCAGAGAAACAAAATACCGACATCAAAAATACCGACAGCCAAAATGCCGACAGCGAAAATACCAGCGAAAATACCGACAGCCAAAATACCGAAATACCGATCCCGACCAACCGAAATGCCGACATCTTCTTGCTCTAGTTGGAATGCCACTGCTTTTTCAATAGCCATTTTGCATGTCGGGGTTTTGGCTCTAGAGGTTTTCGGCGTCCGGATTTTTGTGTCGGTATTTTTTCGTTTTCCAATCTTTAAAAAACTCCCACTGACCTGATGATCCGAATAACAGCCAAAAGGGCTTCCGTGGGCATGCGTCGACACTTCCATCGTGGCGTATCGTAGCGTAGCGTGTCGTCCAAGTATTGAGAGGTGAGACCCCCGGGGGTGATGTGTGTATATAGGTGTGTAGTGGAGTGGGTAGATAGGGATTAACAATGATGATGATGATACACGCGTATGTACACGAGTCTACATACAAATCTGAAAATGGGGAATTAGAAAGGGTTTTAAAGGTATATTTGCATAAATCGAAATGGTGAAAAATGGATTGGAAATGCGGGAAAATTATGAAGAAGATGCATATAAGCTGATAAAAGGTATATTCGGCATTAATTTGCATCTTAGAAAATAAAAAATGGAAAATTAAAGAGCATAAAGAAGCAGACGGAGCTTGAGAGGGAAAATTTGGGAACAAGGCTCAAGCTTAGCTTGGGCTTGGCTTATGCTTGGCTTAGGTTTGGCTTAGGCTTGGCTTAATCTTAAGCTTAGACTTAAGCTTAAGCTTGGGCATAGGCTTGGCTTAGGCTTGGGTTAGGCTTGGCTTAGGCCTGGCTTGGGTTTAGCTTAAGCTTAGACTTAGGCTTAGGCTTAGGCTTAGGCTTAGGCTTGCTTGGACTGCTTCAACAACTTTGTCACCTAATTTTTTTGCTGGAAATTAGCACAGGTATTTGAACATCCCATCTGCTAGGTTATCGATTTTTAATCGTCGGGTCGACCCCTTAAACACGGAACGAGAGAGAGAGAGAGAGAGAGAGAGAGAGAGAGAGGGAGAGAGAGAGGGAGAGATAGCGACAAAGTGAGGCCAGAACTCACGCATCAATGGCGTGAAATAGGAGAACAGAGAGGGGGACACGTGTCTGGTTCAGGGCTGGCCTGAGCCAGGGATGGCACCCCGCCAAACGGGCTTACAGCCGCGGTTCTCCCGCGTTTTGATAAGCCCAAAAAGGCCGTTTCGGAAAAAGTCGCTTCATTTTAAAGGGATTGACAAGCCAGAAAAGCCTGAAAATGCCAAAAATATTTCTTTTTTGGCAAAATCTATAAAATTGATCGAGGTTACGGGGGTTTCAAGGGCTGAAAATCGCAAAAAAAGAGGCTAGATAAATTTTTAAACCTTTTTAGAAGGCATTTAAAGCCAGATGCCACTACAAAGATCCTGAAATTGGCATAAAAATCGGGGAAAGACGACGAAATCGAAAAAATGCCGCCAATCGGCGTTTCAGACGGTTTGGTTCCTGGTTTTCGGCTTAAAAGACGAAGAGAGCGAGAGTGCAAGAGGGTCAGAAAATGAGAGAGGGCAAGAGAGCGAGAGAGAGAGAAGAGAGAGAGAGCGAGAGAGTGAGAGAGAGGCGGGAGAAAGAGAGCGGCTGCAGCATGCCGGCAAGTCTAAACAATCGGCTCCAGGCTTTCCTGAAATCAAAACCAGACAAAATCCGGACTTTCCGGGTTGCAAAAAAAAATGCGAAAGAGAGAGGGAGAGAGAGCGCGCGAGAGAGAGAGCGAGAGAGAGGGAGAGCAAGAGAGAGATAGCGCCAGCTTGCAGCTGTCCCCACCCCTTTAAGCCCCACCAGACTGTAGCCAGACACCCAGTTAGCCCCCAAAAATTGAATTTCAATTCCGGTGTGCACTTCGAAAATCGGTCCCGTCAACCCGAGCCGAATTTGAATCCCAAAAATGGGCACATTCTATAGGCGACCACCGCCCCTGACGGCGGGCCCCCGGAAAAAGCCAATAAAATTGTGAAAATGTGGGAATATTGGTGGGGCGGCTAGGCCTGGCTAAGGCACGACTACGCGACGCCCCGCTATTGTACAGCGTCCTGTTTACAGTTGTGTGGCGGAAAATGGGGGCGGATAAAGCTGGGGGAAGCGGGGCCCTGATGTCTGCATGGGAGGTATATTTTTGACGCCGGCATGAAGTCAAAAAAGGAGAGAGAGAGAGAGAGAGAGAGAGAGAGAGCGAGAGAGAGGGAGAGAGACAGAACGAGCGAGGAAGAGAGAGATAGCCAGCTCGGCCAGCAAAATATTTTGGACTCGTTGCTGCTGCTGTTGGGCCGTTCCGTGGGTCCCAAACCCGGAAGGGGTATCCAAAGGGCCCAATCTCCCACTCCCCAGGCTATAGTAGTCGTGCGGAATTTTCTTGGCAATTTTCTTAGGCTTATTTGCTGGCTGCCAGCTGCTGATCAACGCAAAAAGTTGCATTTTTCTTTAAAAATGACGTTTCTCATGGATTTTTCGAAAAAGCGGAAGGTGAAGCATGAAACAACAGAAAGACGCACTTTTAAAATTTAAATGAGCGGGCTAGGCTCTGGTTTTCCGGGTTTTCAAATAGGGGGCGGGGCTTGCGAAAAATTGTGCAATCAAGAGCGTGTGTTTTCAAGGGCCCCTGAAAGTTGTCAACAGGGTTATTTGCAGAATTTCGCCTTCAATGTGCCTTTAAACATTTTTATGGACTTGGCCAAGGGCCAAAATCAATTAAACATTGCGTAATCGGTTTCAGAACCGAATTTTGACTTCAGTGAGCCTTTCAAACAATTTTTTTTCGACTTGGCTAAGCGCCAAAATAGAGCAATTCGGAAATATATTGCGTAATTGGTTACAAGACGGAAATTTAACTTTTACTAAGTTAGCATTTAAAAGGTTAAATCTTTAAAAAGCAAAAATTCTCTGCGCAATGAGTTGTAAAACGAAGTTTTGACTTCAACGGTCCTTTAAGACAGTTTAAAATAGATCTGGAAACTTGCCAAAAGCCCAGGGTACAAAAACCAAAAACCCATCGGGCGAACGGCAATAGTTGTTTACCGGAAAAATGGGTCTCTGGTGCGTTCGCTTCAACGGGAAAAAAGCGGATTGACCCGGAATGGAGGGGATTTGGAGAGGAAAATATGTGGCAGAAAATTTGGGTGCCAGCAGGGATCTTTGGGGAAATTTGGCTAAAAGGAAGGGTGAGCTAGCGGAGATTCTTTGAGAATTTGGGCAAATCGAGGGGCAGGCTAGCAGAGATCCTTTAGGAAGCTGAAGGAATCAAAGGGCGTACCAGCAGAGATTCTTTGAGAAAACTGGAGGACAATGGAAGCAAACTCGCAGAGATTCTTTAGGAATTGCCAGAGATGGAAGAGCCAGCTAGCAGAGACCCTTGAAAAATGGCGGAATAGAAGTGAAGACTAGCAGAGGCTTTTGAGCAATCAAAAAGTCCAAGCGCAAGCTAGCAACGATCATTGAGGAATCAAAGAGAAATTCATGGGCAAGCTAGCAGAGATTCTTCGAGAAATAAATAGGACACGAGAGGCAAGCTAGCAGAGATTCCTGAGGATTCACAGAAAAATCCATCCAAGGGCCAGCTAGCAGAAATCATTGAAAACTTTAACAAAATATTTCAATCGAATGTTGACCCCCATCAGGCGCGGAACTCTGTCGCACCCAGGGGGGAACTGGGGCTGTGCCGTGAATTTTTGCGGAAAACACGTCCGTCGCAAGGGTTGGGGCGGAATAGTGCAAAGAGGGGGGGAGGGAACGGCTGACCACAGCCACAGCCCCCCACTCGCAAGGCAAACACACAAAAAGTGGGCAGGGTGAAGGGGGGAAGGGGAGGTCTCTGACTTGGCAATCGGGGCGGGACCCTAGCCCCGACCCCCAGCCCCCTCTGGAGAGAGAGAGAGAGAGAGAGACGAGAGATGAAAGGTAGAGATTGGAATCATCCGGGCCGAGAGATAGATATTGGCCCACCCTCCGATTTATGATCGGCCGCTGATTGTTGCAAAAAGTGGCAGGGCCAGCTAATTGCCAAAGAAAATTCAGGATTGGGGCAGGCTAGCAGAGATCATTTGGGAATTGAAGGGGCAGGCTAGCAGAGATCATTTGGGAATGGAAGGGGCAGGCTAGCAGAGATGCTTTGAGATAGTTTCCAGACAAAATTTGAAGTCCACTTCTTTTTCAGTTCCTCCAAAAAATTGAAAACCCACTGACCTTCACTAGCGTCATGGGGTCGAAGGCAAGTGAGAGAAAGAGAGAGAGAGAGAGAGAGAGAGAGAGAGAGAGAGAGAGAGAGAGGGTAACTAGAAAAAAAGTAGTCAAGACAAAAAAGTTCCCCCGTTTGTAGATTGAATCATCCGTGGCCCTGTGGGAGTCTGATTCCCGATTCGGCTCCCCTCGCCCAGGGTGAACAAATGGACCCTGGGATTTTCAAATTTGGAATTCAAATCGGATGCCAATAGTGCGCCAAATCACTATTTTTGGCAATGCGAGAGAGAGGGAGGGCGAGAGAGAGCGAGAGAGAGAGAGAGAGCGAGACGACAAAACCCATGACTAATCTATTTTGGTACGCTGGTTCAGAATCGCAGCGGGGAAGCCGGGAATAATAATGGAAACTGCCCTTGCCTTGGACTTTTTGCAAATTTTTAATTTCTTCAAATCTTGTTGAAGCCGCGTGCAGTTTTGAAGCGACGTGAAGCGTGAAAAAGGTTGTCATTTCCGCGAAAAACTTCAAAATGGAAATAACACCACAAAATTTTGGTTATTTGGAAGGTGCCTGGCTTCAAAAATGTGCCGTCCATAGTAAAAAGCGTACAGTGAGGCCCGAAAGCGAAATCGCATCATTTCCGGGCGTGGCGCCAGCGTCGCCGCCTAATCGCTGACGATATGAAATGGGACCTGGAGCCGCTTCACCTTATCTATTTGGGCATTGGAGTGGAATTTTGGGAAGATGGAGCTGAGGTGGGAATGCACGCAAAAATTCTTAGCTAATGAAGTTCAGATTAAGAGGGTAAGCCTAAGCTAAGCCAAAACCAAGCCTAAGCCTACGCTAAGCCTAAGCCAAACTGTTGCCGAAGCCGAAGCCGAAACCGAAGCCGAAGCCGAAGCCGAAGCCGAAGCCGAAGCCGAAGCCGAAGCCGAAGCCGAAGCCGAAGCCGAAGCCGAAGCCGAAGCCGAAGCCGAAGCCGAAGCCGAAGCCGAAGCCGAAGCCGAAGCCGAAGCCGAAGCCGAAGCCGAAGCCGAAGCCGAAGCCGAAGCCGAAGCCGAAGCCGAAGCCGAAGCCAAGCCAAAGCCTACGCT